GAGAAGACCACCGAGCCGGTAGTCAGAGTTCTTCATGAAAAGCCTAGAAAAAAGATATGATGCTCAAGGAGCCCTTAGAGCGAGCAGAATCCACTGGGCTTTTCTTGTACGTGACAGGGAAAAGTGGAAGACTTAGTGGTATCCACTCGGGTCACTCGGCGATCAACGGGAATACAGGTGATACAGGTGATGTTGTTCACTATAAACCATCTCTTGTCTTTAATGGATACAAACTTTTTGCTTAATCGAAAACTAGGACGATTTGCAAACACATTAACATGGTTTTTCTGTTTATTTGCATATTAATGGCTTGAATAAGGGGCGCGTGTAGCACACTGGTCGGAGGCGCCTTTCAACACACACGTGGAATCTATCCCAGCACCCATGGCTCACCAAGCCTTCCATTCCTCCGGGATTGGTAAATCGGTACCAGAAAAGTCTAGGAGGATAGAAGCATTGGTTCGATGCATCAGTAGGCAACGGCGGTTCACTGTAAAAGGCCGGATACGCATTCAACCACCTCCAAACGATGCTTAATGAAGTCGAATGCATGGCGCATCGCTCAGGATTAGATCAACGCCGAGAGCTTTACCCTCTATTAAGTTTATTAATGGGTTGATGTAAGCCGTGAAAATCAATAATATTTCGTTTTGCTATAACTTCTACATTCTCTATCAGAAGACGTCGAAGCGTTAGCGAATAAAATTGTATAGCAACTTCGTGCGAGATCACAAATGGAACAAAGTATCATTGACAAATAATGCTGAGGTTAAGAAAAAGTTCGTTTTCGGAATTAAGCTGTGAAAACTATGAAAAACTGGTTCAACAATGGACATTTAGGTCATTTCACTACTTGGAGCGTATCCATATGTCAAAAAATCCTGCAAAATCCGGGCAACTTTCATATGGCTCACAAGGTTACCTGGTTGAAAGTCGAGCTTAGTTGCTAAAGGAGAAACGTTCTTGGTTACCAATAATCACAGTTCGATTGGTCACGCTCTAACTTGGTACTTTATACCTGGTGTCGGCTTTCTTTAGTCAGCCATTGCCTTTCTTAATCAAAAGCATAACAATGCTATCTAATCGGGCAAACATAGGTGCATGTCTACGCCAACGATCTCACCATCTATCGAGAGACAAAGATGTTTACAGGGCTCAGTTTTGTGCCATAATTCAATTACCCAATATTTGTTTCATTTTCTCGTCCAAGCACCATACACTGTCCCGAATACCGATGACTTTTCCGAAGATATCACCGTTATCTATCCGCATCGGTAGGCCACGACAAGTTATTGTAAAGGCCAAATATACAACCAATCACCTGCAAACGATGCTTGATGAAGTTGAATGCATGACGCATCCCTCAGGGATTGACCAACGCCGAGAGCCTTGTCACCGTTGCACGCTACTAGACTTCAGCATAATTCTTTCTTCACCGAATTCCACAATTTTTAAAGTAGACTAGTACAAGTAAGCATAAATCTTCTATGATCTCACTGGATCACACCGACATCGGTTGCACAGTTGGTGCACAAGTAAACAGACGTTTTAACATACTTTTCAGGTTAAAAAAACAACCTTTGAACAGTGAATAGACCCATTTCTTAATGGTTCACTATCTTCACTGGGCTGGAGGATGTTCTTTTAGTATCGACTTCCTATGTCTACGTTGATTTAATCTTCCAATGTACTATGTTCAGTTCGAAAGGAGCTTGACACTTCCCACCAGAAATTCGAATAGAAGGAATTGTCGCTGATTTCGAAACCTAGTCGTGATGTGGGAAATCTTTCTCCGAAATTAAAGGAATATAGATAGAACTTGCTCTGAATTCAGCACAGTTCTCGATAGACACACACCACATGGCTTTCAAGTTTCAAGAAGAGAACCGCAATGATTTGTCAGGTGAGCTGAAATGAATAGACAGAACCATTACATTGTTTTCTCTCACCTTCTTATATGCTTATAATGTTTTGGAAGAACATATTCCGTTATCTAAGTGAGAGGTACGCAAGTTCATATAGACGATTTGGGGAAGGTTCAGAACTTATTGTTATTATGGCTGAACCAAGTATCTCCACACGAAGTGCTAGTAAGGTATTAGACGAAAAGACAGCTCAGGCATTGTATATACTGCCTATTTAGGAGAGCTCTATTTTCTGTTAAAGTGGTATTGCACTGCAAGTTGACCCGTGGCCTCCTCTAGAGGCCGATTTCTATCATGACTACTTACCCAGAGAGGACATTTCTTACTTGCTGAAGAAACACGGTGATTTCCTAACAAGAACAAGCGAGGTATACATCATGGTTTAAAATGAGAAAACTCAACAATTACATTGCAAATTCATTGGAGGTCGATAGAGTAAGATGGGGAAAGGCAAAAAAAGACAAATGATCATATCGATGCTCATCGATCCGGTTGGTTCATTCGAAGATTTTGGCTCGAGCGAAAGCCGACAACGCATGGTATGTTATATCTCTAATGATATTAATCCTACAGAGTAAATTGCAATGAAGTTCGTAAATAGTGTAAACCGTTTTTGGTCGAGTTCATTAAAGAGTCAGTAGTGCGACTTGTCCTTAGTTGAGCGTACATTACACTTCTTCTTTCATCAGTTTTGAACAGATTTGAACTAAGGGTAATACTAATTCGGTGTGTTTCCCTCGTTCATTCCGTCTTGTTGATGAGCAGTTGCTAGATTTCAAAATAGGATGGGTCTGTTAGTACAAGCTTCTCAGATCATTTCCACAAAGCAAAGAGCAGCCTTCATGTACAGAAAACCAGGTAGTAGTTGATTCTGATAAGCAGCACTTCGATCACCTTTGGTGGACTTACTGATAGACTACTTCGAATATAGTAAATTATGCGAGATTCATTCATATTTCCTACTGGTGACTTCTTCTTATCAATGTCATTCCAACCGGTTGAGGAAGTGCCTTTTCATGCGAAGCCACAACTTGTTTTCGTCTTCAACTTAGCACGTGTTAATTGTTATGATCATAAGTCGTTCCTCATTCTATATAAACATCGGCTTTTCTGTGTGAAGCAAAAACGAACAGTCTGCCAATGTGATTTGCATTGCTTTGTACTCTGATAGATGGTGAACAGTTATTCTTGTTTATGAATATTATAGTGACAGCCATACCATTTATTTCTCACAACATTCGCTGATGGGACTAACTTGCTGATTTTCAAACTATGATAAAGCCTTGATTGTAATCACAGTATTGTAGGCGCGCGTCGAGATTACTGTAAAATTTTTATTCTCTCTACTTCTACACAATGCTTCGTATGTTAACATAACCATAGCGCTTCACTGTTTTCACTTATAGTGATGATAACGACTTGTGGGAGTTTTGCTGGTTTAGCCATTGCGCTTCTCTGCAGTCCCGAGTCAGCCAGACCAAGGTTTGTTCCAAATCGTCACTACTACAGATAGTGGCCCACTTGGTGGTTCAGAGTGAGATTTGCCACCATGCGATTAATTTGGTACCAGAACGGCGGTGGATCCCGCTATTGGTTTACTCTTAGCTGAACTTCCTAATGGAAACGCCGGACTCCTTCACAGCTTGGGAGACTTTGTCAGGCGGATGAGTCTCCCCTGTACAACGCAGGCTGACACCCAGGAACACCTCTTAGCCACGATGAGCCGGTAAAACGTTGGCAGGAGATACTATGTTAGTAACATAGGTTTGGAAATTGCTGCTAACTGTATGGCTTTTACGAACGGTTTTGGTAACATAGTAATTATGCTTATTGGGATGTGCGATAGGGTGAATGACTACATTTCTCTCACTGAGTACTGCTACAAGTTGCCAACATCCACATCAGTCAACCATCCGACGTTTGCGCAGCATGCGAGCATGGTGTGCCTGTGCCAAACAGGAATCCTGTGCCATACATAAATGTTGTTGACAAACATGGGTTACCAATCTTTTATATAAACGCTGTTTTGTTACAAAAACCGGCTGATGAAAGTTCAGAGCTAAACGTGCCCTTTGGCCGGTTCTGAAAGTGTGTGCGCGTTACTGAAATGTGCGAAAATCCGAAGTTATGATGTATTTCATTAGTTCACTAAACTTGACTTAAGCTTCCGATGTTGTCCAAAGCAGATTCCTCACTATTCTACAGGCGAGAGATTCTAAAAACAGCCTTGTAGGTCCGTAATGTTATAATCTATTGTAAAAAGCTACCCTTTTTTGTGGAGAAATCACCTCGATTCGCACTCATGTGAGACCTTTCGTCTATTATGCGTCTCATCCCGTTTGTATTAACAAGGTATGACTCTGCCTTTTTATCACTTGTGGTGCCGTTAATCACATTACTTAGATCAGCACGCGTAAGGCATTCCACTTGCTTCTACGCCAATGAGGTCCGCTCAAACGGCTCTAAAGATGAAGAACATTGTAGCGTTTTCACGACACTTACTTTGCTACTAAACTATCCGCTCTTGTTTTTTCTTGACGAGAGAATAATCAAAGATTGCTCGGTGCGCTCTGCCGTAAGATATATCTAACCTTGGCAGGACATTTGGACGAAAATATTAAACTTTTATGAAATGATTTCGTAAATGGAATAAAAGAACACGTCTCATCCACGATAGATTGAACGTGGACGAAAAACTAAATCTAGGACTGGAGTGGCATTCATATTCCGCTGGCTATTCTGTTATGTCGCACTGTTGTGTTTCACAACCAATTCCGTTTACGTTCCTGGTACTCCACTGACGATAGGTAGAAAAGTAGCGCTAATTCCACTTCTGAAATGTAGTTTCAAGAAAAGAAAAAGCTCGAGAAATATACAGCCTTAAAATAAATCGAACACGAATGAAGTACCAAATAATGACCGATAAAAGCCGTAACACTAAATTCCTAAGAACAGAATGTTCACAGATGCTTCATAAGTAGTCACAGCCATAACGAGCTCCTTAATTACTCTCCTTATGTAAATCTAGTAACGGGTGCTCACAGACACAAATAAATATTATTTCAGGCTAAAGTCATGCATAAACGAGGCATAGGACTGGCGAAATGGGAATTGCAGCACAAAACCGCGACGATCGGCGAACTACTGGGGGAAGGCGTATTTGGTGAAGTGAGGTAAGGCACACTGATGTTGAAGAACGGACGTGTACTGTTTGCCGTAAAGACGGTTCGCTGCTACTTCTTCTCCTTTTTTCTGTTTATATGGATTGGTTTCATGGTTCGTTCTTTTGCATTGAGCAATAATTTACTGTCTTCTTGAAGAGCGAACACAAGGTTGTTATTACAGCACTTATATACTCATAATAGCTCATGCTTCTGCTGTTTTGCTCCTTCTTCAGAGCCTGAAAAGGTCAAATTAGCACGGAATCTGCTCAGCCAAACACTTTCATAAACTGAACAGATAAAACTTAATGCGTAGACTTTCATTCGTATAATAAACAGTTTCTTTAAACACCACCACTTTTCCTGTTTATACGCCTTCTAGTTATTTGGCGTAGAGTGGTGCTACGAAGTCATATGAGCTAGGAATGTGCTTGGTTTAGGCCGATTTAAAGGTAAACCAAATGCTCTACTACGTGCGCATAGGATCTAGAGACGTGGCAGAGAAGATTCCGTAGTGAGCGCCACCGTTCTGGCAATGGAATCCAGAACAACAGCGCTTAAAATTCTTGAAGCGATTTGTTTAAATCCAAATAACCCAGGAGGAGTGCCCTTACGCGTGATTTCGCTCCATACCTCAGGCTGATTTTTCGGCATGAGCCAAGCACATTTCTCGCCCATGTAAGACTCTGTACTCTTCAATAGTAACTAAAGGGCTTAAAAAGAACAAAAATGGTCAGTGTTTAAAAGGAACTGTTTACTATACGAGCAAAGATTTGCTTGTCAAGTTTTTTTAATCTTTCCAAGGTCTCATCAAGGCGAAACCGCCTAAACGTCAGTTATTGGAAATGAATGAATGCTGTAATAACCTCGCCTTTGCTCGTCAAGCAAACAATGAATCATTGTTAAATTTTTATTTATTCCAATAGAAAACTAACTGAGAGAGGTGTAACAAAGGTCTCCACATGGTATGGTGGCGAGCGCATTAGCCCCGAAAAGCGCAATAACGCGTTCGTTCCCCACCGCAGACAACTGCTGTTAGGAGCTTTGCAAATATCTCAGCATCGTTGTGGTTGTCATTCGTCAATTATTTATGTTGAAATAATACCACTGAGCACTCAATATAACTTGCAAGTTCTATAGGAGAAATAAGTCTGAGGACCAAAAATTCATGATATTTAGTTAAAATCCAACTGCGCTGAGAGCGAACTATCGAAAGCGAAAATCAAAGAGATGATGAAAGAAGCTCGTCTTACTCGAGATTTGAAACATCCAAATGTTGTATTCATCTTTGGCGTAGCGTTGTTAGAACATCCTCTCTACATTGTACTTGAATATATCTCAGGTAGGAGATATACTACTCGACATATTTTTATCTTGTCAAATAAGCAATGTTCCCTCTCCCACAGAAAAAGCAGAAAATGCATTGTGGGAACAATGCTCACTTATTCAACTTTACTCGTGAGAGATGGAAGCTTGTTCCGATGTCTGACGGTCGATTCCAAATGCTTTTAAATTCAGGAGGCGAACTAGATGTTCACCTTCGGAAACAAAAACAAACAGTAGATGAGAAAGAACGTCCTTACATGACTATGGGAGCTGCTTGGGGAATGGAATATCTGCACAGAAACTGCATCCTGCACAGGGATATCGCAGCTCGAAATTGCCTTTACGATAACAAAAGGCCCGTATGAAACCAGTTTTCTGTTTTTTTTTAAATCTACTTTTTGCAACTTACTCTACAAACTAGGAAACTTCACTCGAACCAGTCTAAATTCATTTCATGCCAGAAACTTCAACGTGACTCTGTTTTGAATAACAGCTATTATTAGAGGTCATTCATACCATAGCTTCTACGAAGCATGAAGAAATAATGCTAACATGCTAACAAACTATTCAATTAACTATTTCTGCATATTTCCACTAAAATCTCAAAATTCTGCCTCGATATGTAAAATCATACAGCACTGAGATTCACCCTATAAATGCAGAACTAATATGATACTTCGTAAACCTCTCTATGGTCTAATCAACACGCGGGTCCAGGACATCACTGCTAGGTCTACATATAGAGCACAGTAATAAGTAGAAATATCAGCCATGGTGAGTGAGTGTTGTGCGTCACAACCCAGCGTAGGTTCGTGAAAAGAAGGTAAGAATCAAACCAGAGGCTAATAGAAAGTCAGTTCCACTTAGTTCCACATAGCGATCATGTCGGAATGCCAGAAACATTCACTTGAAATGGTCAATTCCATTACGCTGCACATGTAAATTTTAAGTCATCTTCTGAAATGATGTACACACTTCATCGCATATTCTGTTATTAGTTTTAATCAAACAGAAGAGTGGATTGAAATATGTTAAGCATATAATGTATAGCATATAATACGCCGTAAGGGGCGGATAGTACAGTGGTAGTGATGGTCACGAGCATGGGGCTAACTCGATTCCGCACCGAGCCACCCAAGCCTCTCATCCCTTCGGGGTCGGAAGATTGGAACCGGTCTTATTTAGAAAAAACCGCTCTCCGAAATCCAGTTGAGAACGCTCTGGTCCGGTTATCCCAGGACTACAGGGAAACTCGACCAGCATTGCACGACAAAATGAAAATCCTCAAGCAGCAACCGAAGCTACAAGTCAAGTTGGAAGATCTTCGCGGACATTGGATGCGAGAAAATGAAATGAATATGAGAAGTGCTGGGATCCCGACAGTAGACCTGAAGACAGGCCATATAAAATAAAATAAAAAAATAATATGCCGTACTGATTGAAATATTTGCCAAACTGAATAAAGGATTGGAGAATAAAAAAAATAGAATGAAAAAACAACGAAAAAGGATGAACAGCTAGAACACCCTTCCACCAGTACTACTTGTGATTTGGCAAAAATATGCAAAAAAATCGGTGTGTTTGGGTGAAGATAAGCGACTTTGGGCTTTCGCGAAGGGGTACTACCTACACGATGAAGACGGCGAACAAGATCGCAACCAACTGGATGCCACCCGAGAGCGTCTCCGAATTCACGTTCTCCCAGAAAACTGACGTGTACAGCTACGGCGTAGTTCACCTATAACCAGACTAATCATCAAATTGTTTTTTTCCCACTAAATACCTTGTTTTAGGTGCTGGTATATGGGATTTTCTCTTGTAATGAACCATACGAAAGCGCGTCGAGACGAAAAGAATGGTGACCTAGTTTTCGCTGTCGTTTTGCAAATGTTAAAAACACATGGAAATTTTTGATTACCGAAGGAGTTTTGGATGAATTCCCGAAGAGACTCCGGCCTTGCTAGTCGAGTTTATCAGGGAGAAAGTGTGGGATCGAAATCCAGACAAGAAAACCAGAATGATTGCCGTATATTGCAGATAGGCGATAATAATACAACAAAGTCATTGAGTTCGCGGACTAGCACTAGGTGAATTTCGACCTCGAAGCTTATCTTGGAAACTTTAATATTCAATTTGCTTACGAAAGTGAAGTAACTTTGAAATCCATACTGACAGATGTCAATAGTTAAAGCTTCCTCAAAGGCAATCATTCAGGTGTTGAGCTGGTTTGAAAATTACACAGGATTTACTTCTGATATTCAAGAGGATTGTTCTCCCAATACGACTGCAGAACAAGTGATTTTTATTACCACTTTGCATATTTGTTTATCGGTCAAAATTTGGAAATTCATTTGGTAACCAATGGCGGTTTTCACTAGTCACCGTTTGTAAATCCGCAACCTACCTAGTGTTTTCGTTAAAAATTTGAGATCTATGCCTTATCGTGAACCTGAAAAACTCTATCTTCTTGAATATCTCAAGTTTAATGTATATGTATATATATAAAGCTGAAAGGATAAAGCTCTCGGCGTTGGTCAATCCTTCAGAGAAGCGCCATGCATTCGACTTTATCAAGCATCGTCTGGAGTTTATTGAATGCATATCTAGTCTTTACAATGACACGTGGTGGCCTACCGATGCATCGAGCCAGTGCTGCTACCCTCCCAGGCAAGTCCGATAGCAATTTGCTGACCCTGGAGGGATGGAAGGCTTGGTGGGTGATGGGTGCGGGGATCGATTCCACGTGCGTGTCACAGAGGCGCGTCCAACCACTGGGCCATTGTATACATATATATATATATATATATATATATATATAATACGCCCAACGCCCAGCTAAGGGAAAACGTACTGCAATTCTGTTTGAGTTATTAAGGGCGAGGGCGACCTATCGCGAAAGCTCAACAGTCCTGGTTCATATCGTGGGCGAGGGCGCCAAGTGGGCCTAGCCTGGCTAAACACTCAAAACAAAGAAAAACTAAGGGAAATTGTCCGACCATCCATATGAAATTTAACGCGATTACGCACGGTTTACACATGAATCCTCTTTTATTTAATCTATATAGTAATAAATCGTTATTTCAATGTCAGTAAATCAGATTCCTAACCCCCTAACGACTAGTGTATTATTCAATCGAAATCAAATTTTTACTAGCAAAATAAATGATACGTGATGTTTTGTGTTGTTTTATATAGCTTACGTAGAACAGGACCAAGTGAACTTGAGGCCTTGCGGTGTGTTGTCGAAATCGTTCGACCAAGTCCAACACACTTTCGGAATCCTGAACACTGAAATGCAGAAAAATAAGACAAAAAGGATAAAGCCTTCAGCGTTGATCAATCCCTGAAGGATCCGCCATTCACTTAATTAAGCATCGTTTGGAGGTGATCGAATGCATATCTGACCTTTACAATGACTCGAGGTAGCCTACCGCTGCATCGATCCAGTGCTGCTATCCTCTCAGACAAGTCTGGTACCAACTTGCGGACCCCGAAGGGATGGAAAGCTTGATGGGCCATGAGCGCAGGGATCGACTCCACGTTTGTGTTGCAGGGCGTCTCCGACCATTACGCCACATGTTCCACTTAAGGTAAGATATACACTGAAAAACCCATATTTTCGTATTATTTTTCGAAATATGCAGAATTGCCGGCCGTCCATTCCGCCATGGCGACGACGTGGCACCAAGCGCATCATCGCTGCGACTTTATCCTACATTCAACGTTCGGGGACAAGAGCCATATTGAAATTTCAGGGGTAATCAATGCTTCGGAATTCATTCGTTATATGAGTCCGTTTCTTATCGCCAAATTTCTTATTGATATCAGTAAATTGGAAATGGTCTGTATCGGTACTTTCTAGGCCTCGAAATGACCCCTCAATGAAGAATTCATAGCCCTTCAGTGGTGAGCGATCCCACTGTCAGCTGACAGTTATGGAAGATCCAGGCGGATCAGATGGTGGGCAAAAGAGAACCAGGAATCATTATTCTCTTGATGCACGAATTTCCTCGAGAGCGATTTTGCGCAGTTTTTGGAATCTTTTCTGTCAGATTTGAACGTAAATAAAATAATGATTACGACGGATAATTTACAATAGAGGTCGATTTCCTTGACCTGGGATCCTCTGAAAAATACGAACGACGTATTTCTCATGGTGTGATTTGTGAGGATATTCTACAAATAAAGAGCTAATAGTAAAGATAACCTACAAAAAAGCTAAGGGTTATCCTTCAACGCAAAGCTTCGGGCATCTTACTAGAAAAGAATACGTGTACGTGAGGTCGGTGTTTTGTGCTTGACATTGAATATCCCTCAGCCTCTATGATGATCGTCGACAAATGAAAAGATTCGATGAAAAGATTACCGTGCAATCTGTCCTATAATCATAAACGTCCTTCTATCTACCGGCCATAAACACCACCACTCTCCCGAGTTGTGCACTTCTTCTTTTAGAATTTGCATAGTCCCGACTGGTGGCATTCACATATGGCCGGTGTGAAGTGTGGCAATAACAGCCATTGATGTCAACCAGTTCAATGTCACTCTGTCCCGTTTTGTCGTCTACCTCTATGTCCATGGCATTCGGTGGCTCTACACTGAGTATCTGATTAGTAGCAATGCTCTTGCATTGGTCATGGTCATTTCTTGTTCATAACCAACTGGTTGCCGCACAGTGAATTGGGCATACGTATGGTGTTGGCGCCAATTGTTAGGTAATTTTTCCAACACAGTTGCTGTCTCCTGTAGAAAAAAAACTAGGTCACTGTGAACTTATGCATAACAATAAAGTATCACCAGCTTAAGTAACATCGTCAAGTGAAATCTAAGAAAATTATAATGCCCAAGTTTATTCGACCTGTGTGGCCAGGTCACCCTTGTTTGGATCTCTTGTGATTATGACTTGCTGATTTTGTTTTTCACTGGTTTAATTTGTCTTTTCACAGCTGGCGCCAATGAGATATCCATGCCTGAAAGCCAAGTGACTGATATTGCTAGATATGCAGTATAGTATATTCCAGTTCTATGCAACTCGTCAAAAACTTTTTTAGGCCTGTCATTTAATATCAAACATTTTTAATTAGTGAAATACCGAAAGCCAAATAATTGATGAATTAATGGTTCAAACAAATGTTACAGTCAAATTCGACTTACTCCATATGCATATGGTAGTACTTACTGAATATGACTACTGAATAGGGATTGACTTGGTCGGTCGGTCAACGAGGTGCAGTACTCACGGCCGTCGCAGGAATAGCTGCCGTCCTGTGAGAACCCGAGTCCCAAGCCAAGACAACATGGTTGCGTTTGAAATACATGTCCGGATCCCAGGTGAGAGCACGAGCATATAAATGAGGGAGAATAACGATGTCAAACGGCATCGTAATCCTCAATGTGGACGACGACTGCAAGGCAACACAACGAACGAAGTTCTGGAATCCGAACGGTATGTGAAGACAAGTGAAATTTATTGCAGTGCCTATGTGAACAGACGTTATGGATAGATAATAAACGCAATAGTTTCTCTCGTAATTTGTCGTTGGTCGCCTTTAAAATCTAGATAACCTTTGGTTGATTTCTCATATATAAATTTTTAAGGAGGCATGACATCACAGAATTTTGAAATGGAGCGCTATCAAAATTTCGTAGAGCCATTCTTGCTATGAGAAGGGTGTCGGTCTCGTGAACACTAAGGCGACTCAGGAAGAAACTTCAGCAGAGTTCGTGTGTGAATGATCCATTCCGTTCCGTTCTGATATTGGCATATTACTGCACAAGGACAACTCCGAGGAATATGCACCAAGCAGCCGTCGAGGAGCAACAATGACTGTTTTGTAGTTGAACGGCTCTATGGAAGACAATAATCCTACAACACCTAAAGCCACATCTTGTTCTGAGAAGCGTCTATCACTGATCTGTCAGCTTACGAGCGCTTCCGCATTTTACGACACCCTTCTGCATGTTCATTTGCACTTTATCGACTTCGTCTCCAAGGACGTAATCCTTTCAACTTTATGGTCGCAGAAAAGTACGGTTTAAAACTATTGAAGTTTAGGTTGCAGAACAAAATCTAAAAGAAGAATGTCGTACAGTGAAAAAAAATTCAGGAAAAACGTCCCGCTTCTACCAACGTTCTCTTACATTATGAAGTTACAAAATCGCAGCATTTCAAAAATACTCTAATGGGCTTGGTTTCATTGTTTACAATCACGTTGTGGTGGTGCATAGTTCAGTGGTTAGAGGTGGACCGCAATATACACTCTCGATCTGTCTCCTCACGAGCCGGCGCCTGCGCAAACCAATCCTATACCATCAGTGAATAGTTATCAGACTTTTTTTCTGTGAACAAAAACCATAACTTGATCATCGGTAGTCGGCACTCTCCAGCAAGTGATGTGCATGGGGCATTCTTAAGAGTTCAGTCAATGTCGAGTAGTTTCCTAATTTATACTACGTTACTGTTGTCGAAAGATAAAGTTCGAAAGTGTACGATTACATTTGAGTGGTCGCCGTCGACAGAGTGGAATTGTCCTGCAACCCAATCACTTCCACCCACTAGCCTCCGCTCACGTGTTGTTTTTCTTCGTAATCGTTTAAAAATAGCAAATCAGAAAACACTTGAAATTGTCGTTCGTCTTGACATTCACTCTTGTTATCAACGCTTCTTTCTCTTGGGTTAACAAAGAACTTAAACAATTGTTCATTCGTTAGATTTTGGTTTATCTACTCACTTTTAATGGTTTTGGTTTTCAAATCCTTTCAATTATGTAGGGTAAATACTTTATTACTTAAGTACTTTATGTAGTGTATGAATTTTATTTTATAACAGATTTTTTTTATTCTTTTTTTATTTTATCGTACGTGACTCGTCTTCACATCTACTGTGCGGATCCCAGCACTTCTCAGGTTCGATTCGTTTCCTCGCATCCATTGTTCACGAAGATCTTCCAATTTCAGTTGTTGCTTGAGGATTTTCGTTTCATCTTGAATGTTGTGAACGCTGGTCGAGCAGTTCTCCCTTGAGTCCTGAGATAGCCAGGATGGAGCGTTCCCAATTGGATTGAAGAGTTATTTTTTCCCAGACAAGTCCGGTACCAATTTGCCGACCCAGGAGGAATGAGAGGCCGGTTTGGCCCGGAGCGGCATCGAACTAGCACCATGCTCGTGATGACGGACATCACTACCACCGCGCTATCCGCCCCTTTTATAACAGATAGATTTTAAAAAGTTGCTACAATTGCATTTACTCGTGCTATGGCAAACTAAAGTGAAATACCAAGCGTATGAGGAAATCATAAAAAACTTCGTAAACAATAGCACGATAGGAATTCTCCCAACCCCAGTTCCGAATCAGCTGAAGTTTCTGCCCTTTGGAAGTCGAAAATTCCACCTACCTGCCGACTTTGAACGACAGACCAGTTTCGCCCAGCGACCGCTCACATTTCTGTGCCGGTACCGACAATTGTGATTGGTTTTGGCGAGAAACACGTTCTCCATGCTATCGAAGATATTCTAAATTCACAACTTACGTCTTTCCATTTGTCGGCTTCTCTATTCCTTGATGCTACAAGAAAGGATAGTCGTTGGTTCTATGAAAGCTTCGTTAATAACGGAAGTGTTCACGACTGTTTGACGCTGGAGTTAAGCTCTTGCCCTAAAATTGGACGTCACAAATGCTATCACCTTTGGCATAAAATCTATAAAACGTGGTATTTAGCCACAATCCAACATTAATGCCAATGACGCTAAATTTTTTTCTGAAGTAAAGGCAAAATCTATTAAAATTTCTCGAATCAGCTTGTCGTAGAACGATCTCAGGCGGTGAATTGAACAGAAACAAACACAGATGGACGGAGAGGAGAACACGTGGCATGGCGATCAGAGGAATGTGAACCTCATTCAAATGCCACCGCTGTCATCACCGTCGACAGCGCCGTCATCGCGCAAACGCACAGGACCGTCCATTGGTTCCCAAAGATTCGCCGTCGTTGTCGAGTGCTTTTCAGTTTATCACGAGCGAAAGTTGTTGTCTTCAGTCATTCCGAAGCTTCTTTTCACTAGAAGCAGTAGAATTGGCTTCTGCTCCTCCGCAATCTTTCCTATTTACAATCTTATTCTGGTCATGGATCAGACTATTCGGACCAAATCTTCTATCCCTGTGGCTATGAACGTAAATTTAGATTTAGATCGTGGATATTTGCAGACATAGCTATCATAAACTCAATGGATCAGACTACTCAGATCGAAAGATTGTCTTTTTAAACAAAAATACAATGTGCATTAGAATACCTAATCTCTTTAAATTCCCTAAATGAACTAGCTTCTATTGCTACTTTTCCCGTGAAGGTGTTGAATCATGAAGCTGGCTGCCCTAGCTTTACAAGTTTTTCTACCTCTTTGGCTTTGCGTATTACTTTTTTGTTTTTATATATTGTTATATTGGATATTTCTGTACACATATTTTATATTGTAACTATAACCACAAAAAGACAGGCGAAACGAAAGATCCGCATGCTATGGTAGTGAACGCGTTAGCCTTCGGAAAGGGTAATAGAGCGTTCGTCCCCCGCCGCATACACCTGCCGTCCAGAGTTTTGCAACTATCTCAGCACCATTGTGGTTGTATTTCGCATAATATTCTGCCGTAAAAAATTATGGTAGGCAGCAAATAAAAAGTGGAGCATTATAACTATAACTTCCATTTAACATTTCTAAAAGATTAAAAGATTCCAGCTCGCAGTTTTTTCCACAGCTCCACCTTTTCTTTGCTACTTACAACTTTTATACACTAAGCAGGGAATTTCATACATCCTACGGCAAGAATGGCAATCACTATCGTTGGAAGAAGTCGGACAGAGGAAAGATTTTTCCATTGTAAACGCAATACACTCCTGGAAAAGCCACGAATGGACTGACCCACCATTCTGAATAACTCCTTGGGCCAAATATGATCGATTTTGGGATACTCTTCAGATGAAGGCGACCAAATGATGGACGGGAGATCGCTATCATATTGTGGTCATAGGTCGTCACCAATTGGACAAAACCAGAACTTGCAATCCTATCCACTCAGAGAGACGTGGAAAAGAAGAGCAAAGAAAACTGTTGAAACACGCAGCGAAAAGGTATACTGCAGAGATAAAATGCGCCTGGTCAAGGGAAATATTTTTGGAAATTTCTTACCATTAATTCACTCATTAAACGTTGTCGTTCTAAGAAGTGGTGACGTCGTTACAACGTTTGCTGGTCATGAACTGGATATGATACTCTGCGATAATTCATGGAATCATTCGGCGACGAACCATTAAATTGCCCAGGTTAGTCGTCCGTCGTATGCCGCTCGCTCTGAGTTCTGAGTTCTGATTTATCTCTAACAACGTGATTGAATGAGCATCAGTGCATAAAAGCTCGGCAAATACTAAGAGAAGCGGAAAGCACCGGCCCTTTCCTGCTAGTAATCGGCCGTCAAACCGCAATTCGAACTTCCACGAGGCCAATTTCTCCGAAAATTGCACACCGATAGATTAGTATTTGTTGTCAAAGTATAGGTCTTCTATTCGCGCCGCCACGTTTGGACCAATACCTTCAAATAGTCCGTTATATATTGGTGTACGTTTTGGACATCTGGGCACTACGTAAGCTGGGTGAAAGATCGTTCATCGTTGTGGAATATGCTGATGAGCGCGTTAAAGGACAAAGGATAAAGGATAAAGGATGAAGCTCTCGGCGTTGATCAATCCCTGAGGGATGCGCCGTTCATTCGACTTAATTAAGCATCGTTTGGAGGCGATTGAATGCATATCCGGCCTTTACAATGACTCGCGGTGGCCTACCGATGTATTGAGCCAGTGCTGCTTATCCTCCCAGACAAGTCTGATACCAATTTTCCGATCCCAGAGAAATGGAAGGCTTGGTGGGCCATGGGCGCAGGGATCGATTCCACGTTTGTGTTGCAGGGCGCCTCTGACCATTCGACCACACTCGCCCGAGCACGTTAGGAGCACCCAATATTTCGTACTTGAGACAAGAAATAAAGAATGCTCCAACCTATCTGGACGATCGAGAATCGAAGACGCCTCACATAACATATAAGCCACGGTGTGGAGAACGGGTGGGTCAGATCGCAGCCGTTGGCTGTGGGTCTCACAGGGTGTCGGGGTCAAAAGGGTCAAAAGCAGGGTCAAAAGTCAAAAGGGGGAAGGTGGGTCAAAAGTAGAGCAGAAGTGAGATTGACTATGTTCTTTATAAAGACCCTAAAAGAACTGCGACGGTCTTGGATTCTCTAGAATGAATGAAGTCCATCGTGCTGTTTTTGCGCGCACAAGGTGCAAATGAAAGGCATCCGGAAACGCGTAATCACGAGGTTATGTGGCGCATCGCCAGGTAGTGAGCAAGATGTTAAACAATAATGAGATTCGGTTAAAGGAATTGCATATGATTTTTCAGAAGCATGCTTATTGAACAACTAATGAACAATCCGCTTTTATGGTTCAAAATATATGAACCTATGTCAGCTAAGAAATCACTGCGAAGATGACGTCGGGTTCCACAGTAAAGGCAACTTTTTGCAAAGTGGTGCTTGTTGACCTTTGTGCCATAATTCTTTCCAGGTTAAAATCTGAAGAATTTCACAACGAAGGCTACAAAAGAATTGGAGGGGAAAAGAAAGAAATGGAGAGTTCTCTCTGTTCATTGTGGTAGGTAACTCATGGTAACTCTGAATTACGAAGGCCCTTTCTCCGCCGGACAAGCAACTCTCTCAATAAAGAATACCATAACGAAAAAGCGCACTTCAACGAAGTTTTGCTCAACTTATTGTGCTCAGATACTCGAAAAGACCTCACCAGCACCTTGCTAGAAAGAACGCTGCGAAATCTGAAGAAATGAAACTTCACAATGTCATCCTTTTTATTTACTGCTTACTAAAATTCTTTTGCGACAGTGTATTATGTGAAATACAACCACAATGACGCTGAGATATCTGCAAAACGCCGGAGCGCGGGTGTCTGCGGTGGTCATCGAACACGCTATTATCTTTTCCAGGGCTAACGAGGCTCACCACCAGACCATGAGAGCCCTTCGTTTCGCCTCTCTCTTAGCTTGTTTTTCTTCTATTCATTTTCAATTTCTAGTAAATGAAACTTCGTTGGTTGGCTTTTCGGGAAATATCATTATTGACGACATCTATGGGAAGTGCTGTTCGACTTTTCAGTTGGAAAGTCATCAAGGATGTCTGTCTTCAGATGCGTTAGAGCCGATACTCCAGTGTGGAGTGACATGAGCCGAGGACAACCAAAAATTTACCCCAAAACTCCGACACTAGACATCGGAAGAAAAAAACCAAAACAGGATCATAACAGGAGTAAAGTGGTCATACTCGCACAAGCGGGGTACTGCATTCCGAACTCAGATTCAGTCGTTCCTGTCCTTCAGAGGAGAAACGTCAACCACGACTTCTTTTTATGAAAGTGTCGAAAGCCGACTCCATCTATTTTTATATCACGTCACGGAGAAGGAAATATTGTCCTAGCGGTTTTCCCTTTTGAAGTGCAACCGTCCACTCAGGACAGGATTCAACGGTAACATCTGAAGAATCTACAGCCGATCCTTATCAGCTCATAGGCTCGGTTTTTTTGCGCCCTAGATTTCAGAATGCAAGAATTCATAGTCAGGGGAAGGAAAGCAAAATGGTGTTGTTCATTACGAAGGAATTTTTCGCAAAAATCATCTTCAGTAGGCTTAGTAAATCAGTGGAAGAAGTACAGCCGTTAAAGGTTCCCAGGATCGACTTTCTATTAACCTCGGCATTGGAATATGAATGCGTCGTTTTCTTGTTCAGCAAGCGATGACTCAACCATATGCGACTATAATCAGCTGTTCTAAACTTCCTCATTGGAAGTCACGAAAAAGCGGTGAGTTTTTGAGAAGCTGTTGTAATCATGTAATTACCATAGAGTTTTTCGTCTTTTTGTAAGTGTTATTGAAGCGTTTGGCCTAGTGGATTGTATATCAGTATACCCTTCCACGCTCTGAAGAAGGCGATACTGCCGAAACGTTAGCTAGCGTTGTATTGCATTCTGTTTCTCTATCGAAGTAAATGTGTGTTGTTTAAAAACCTCGCGATTGCTGAACAAGAAAACGGTACAGCCGTTAAAGCAAACTTGGTTTCAAAGCCGAAAACGACTCTGCACACTGGATTACAGCATACGATTGTGATAGTCATTGAAGCGTTAAAGAAGTGCAAGGGACCTTTTGTCCTACTCTTAGCTATTTAAAGCAAGTCTTCCACTAAATTGAGACAGCAGAAGCAGTCGTGGAAGGTAGTCAGGATGTCGTTGTTCAACAGATAGAGAGCCTTCATGAGTCATATGACGAATTTTACCACTCTACGACGACATGGTCACTGGTGTAAACAGAAGGGATCAACAAGACGATGCTATCTCGCCAAAATTATTTAGCTCCACTCTCAAGAATGTCATGAGAGATCTCCAATGAGATAACATAGGAGTGAAAGCCGATTCTCAGCAGCTGCAACATTTTCGCTTTTCTGAATGTTTCCACATCACTGCTTCTATAGAGTCGATTAATCCAGCTCGATGGTTTACAGTCGTCCTTGCATTATGGGGTTTTCGTTATAGTATTGAGTCGAATCACCTTGAGTGGAGCACCTCTCAAAAGAAGTAGCTTCACCTGGCAGTATCCTTTTATACAGGACGGTTGCTGACGATATTGATTTCCCATTGATAACAGCTTTTGTTTTTCACCAAGCAAAAAACACAACACAAAGCATTCGCCCGGAAGAATGAAAGGTTTCCGATTTCGATGGCGCTTATAGAAAGATAAATAGGTTGAATCTCAAGAAAATGATGTTCATAAGGAATGGATTCGTTTTCGACGTCCCATTGTCGATGAGCGGAACAGATATCTCCGAGTGCTCGAGCTACGCGTATCTGGGTCGAGCAGTCGACATGATAAATAGCTTAGATTCAGGGTTGAGCAAAGGAAAACGGTAGGCTTTGTTAAAAGAGCATTGCGAAAGCAATGAAGAGACCAAAAAACACTTTGTTCCGTGAGTATATTTTCAATTATTTTGCTCCTAACGTGCCCCTCGGAAACCTGGGCACTTGTATACGTGTCTTATATAACGGGCTAAATAGAAGGAAGTATCACGTGTAACGCAAGTGAGAGAAGGAATCCGAAGACCTGCCC